TAGATGTGACTAGAGTCTTAATGTATTTTTGCTAGATTTGTTTTCTGTAAAACAGAACTAAATTAAGGATTATAAAATCTCCAACTTTCTGAACTGTTTGAAATGTTACTATTGCTTTACATTTATAAAGAGATTTTGAGTTTTCATGACCTGAATATCCCAGTCATGGAAGCATTTGTTCTTTGTTAAAGACCTAGTGAACTGGTATCTGGAAGTTTTATACATAGGAAAAGGCACATTCCTGGCATGCAGCCTTAATGGAAGTGCACGTAAGATACAAAGCCTTGCCTTGGGAAAATGAACTACAGACTCAACTAGAAAACTTTCTGTTTTAGACCAGTTAAAAATGTAAAATATAGCTATCACAGAGCTTAATTATACACTGGTAGTTTCAACTTCTGTACCAGGAGACAATTTTTTGCATTTTTTTGGGATTGGCCCACAGCTACAGCCATATTGGACAGATGTTTTTAACTCTAAATGCAATGCAGAATTACCTATCATTTCTTTACTATGCAGATTGAATATTTTGCATGAGCATTCAAAAACGCATGTTTATAGTTTGAACTTCTTATGTTTATTGTTTTCTACCACCAAATGTACTGTCTACAGATGGAAAACTCAAGAGTCTTTGATGGGTGGTGAGGAATTGCTCAAAATAATCAGTTACAGACACAGATATTACACATAACGCTGGGAAGGGCTAGATTACAGAGTTATCAAAATATGTACGGGAGCTATCCTCATCTAGCAGAAGTGTTTCAGGGATTCCAAATGATCATATTCAACAGCTGGCCCTATTTGCAAGATTTGGTCAATGGACAATACTGCTGCTTTCCTTCCCTAATCCCTCCCCACCCTCTCTACTGCCATCTTTATGAAAGCAGAGTGGCATGCTGCCTTATTGTTGCTGTTTATTACCTTCAAATGATAGCAATGAAAGCAGGCAAGGCAATTAAGCAATGTGGCAGCCTATTTTTATGAGTTTACCTTTAAAGACAACTGAGAAAATTTTAGAGAAGTGGGTAGAGGAGCTTTACAACCACAGGGAACCTCTGTGAGGTATTTATTTTTAAAAGTCAATGACTTCCTTAGCATAAGGATGCTAATAAATTTTGGGTAGTTATTTTGAATACTTAACAAGGTAATGTGTTTTTAGAAAAAACTGACATAGAATACATTTCTTAAAAAGTGACCAATATTTTTGGAATTGATTCTACCATAACTTCAACTTTTTACCAAAAAGTAGTGAATGGAAAATTTTCAATTCCAAAGATGTGGTTTTATGTCAAGAATATTGTGGTAATCCTCAACTGTGGCATGTTCATGAACCAGGTTTATTTTTTTTTACATACACATGTGTTTATGTGGTTTCCACTTTTTGCCCTCAAAATTAAAAAGGCTTAAAATTTAGTAACAATAACAATGTTTAAGGACTAGAAACAAATACCTTGTAAAGAATGAACGAAGATAAATACATTCAGAAAAGAAATCAGGCTCGGCGCCTATAGCTCAACCGGCTAAGGCGCCAGCCACGTACACCTAAGGTGGCGGGTTCGAATCCCCAGCCCGGACCCGCCAAACAACGACAGCTGCAACCAAAAAATAGCCGGGCATTGTGGCGGGTGCCTGTGGTCCCAGCTACTTGGGAGGCGGAGGCAGGAGACTCGCTTGAGCCCAGGAGTTGGAGGTTGCTGTGAGCTGTGATGCCACGGCACTCTACCCAGGGGGACAGCTTGAGGCTCTGTCTCAAAAAAAAAAAAAAAAAAAAAAAAAGAAAAGAAATCAGACAATTGTTGCAACGAAATACTGAGCAATAATAATGCAAAAAAAGTAACATTCAACACTGTCAAATTAAGAGTATGTCTATTATAGAATGCGTTGACTCTGAGGTTCAGTATGGAGTCATCAGTTAACTTATTTTTTTTCCAAAGACAACTAATATTTATAAATAAAAATAAAAGATTATTTCAAAAAACAGATCATGCCAAATCTTATAGACAATAGAAAAAGAAATACTTCAGAATCATTCTACTTCATCTGGATACACTTGATATTAAAATTGGAAAAAATATAAAGGGGAAATTACAAACATATTTCACTTATAAATGAGGATGCAATATCCTAAAACAACATATGAACAAGTTGAATTAAAAACTGTTTAAGTAATGTACTTTGGTCAAAATTAAATCCAATTTATGTGAGAATTAGTCACTATTTTCTTTTTGAAATTTCCCTCACCCCCTCCTTCCTTCTCTGTCTGCTCTCCCCTTCCCCCACTCCCTACAGTGTCACTAATTGTCCTCATATCAAAGTTGAATACATAGGATTCATATTTCTCCAGTCCTGTGATGCTTCACCAAGAATAATATGTTCCACCTCCATGCAGGTTGTACAAATGCTGTAAAATCTCCATTTTTTTGAATAGCTGAATAGTATTCCATGGCATACATATACCACAGCTTGCCAATCCATTCCTGGGTTGAAGGGCATTTAGGCTGTTTCCACATTTTAGCGATTGTAAATTGAGCTGTGATAAACAGTCTAGTACAAGTGTCTTTATAATAAACGGGGTTTTTTTTCCTTCTGGATAGATGCCCAGTATGGGAATGCAGGATCAAATGGGAGGTCTAGGTTGAGTTCTTTGAGGTATTTCTATACTTCCTTCCAAAAAGGTTGTATTAGTTTACAGTCCCACCAGCAGTGTAAAAGTGTTCCTTTCCACATCCATGCCAGTATCTGCAGTTTTGAGATTTTGTGATATAGGCCACTGCAGATTAAAACCACCCTGAGATATCTAACCCCAGCGAGAATGGCCATCAACCAGGTTTCAGCAAGTGTTTTAAGAGATAATTCAGTATTGTTCAGTGAACATTAAAATTTACTTTTTGATGATATAGGAAGCACTCTTTTATCTTGCAGTATGTTGGTATCATAATTAACTTTCTGGTAATGAATCAGTTAATAACTTATCCACTGATGGAATATAGGAGTGTGCAGAGGAATTTCCTCTCCTATGTCTTCAGCTTATAGAATTTAGAATACTAGAACTAGAACTGGAAAAGGTGATAAGTACTGCTTTTCTGGATTCATCCTCATATGAAGAAAATGCAGTAAAAACACTATTACACAACTGCAATACCCCAAATAAAAGGGTCAGATACTAGGACAATGTGTATAGTAGACAAAACAATTAAGTCCAAAAGGAGAGGGACCTTGGCCATGAGACAGCTGTTAGATTTGTTCTTCAGCATTCCTACTAGGCACTGTTCTGTCGATGCACTGCAGTGGAACCCACTGTTAACTACTTCTATCAACTCAACACAGGAGATCTCCCATGAAATCTCATCCCTTAATTTCATAAGAAAAAGCAACAAAAATACAATGTACCAAAATCTGCTTTTATAAACTAACTCTGCCAGATTAATAATTTGAACAATACTTACATTTCTGAATTACAACAATCTAAACTTTAATGACACACTTTCCAACTCTTTGCCTTTATTTAGATTATGAACATGAATAAGAAGTCAAATATGCTTTTGAAAAAAAGTTTCTTTATTTCTATTTATTCATTTATGCAAAGACAGTATCAGTAATATGAACTTATTCCTATATTTTTAAGTTTAAAATTAATTTTCCATTTTGAAAGGTTCAGGACTTTGTCTCTTCTACCTTACACTTTTAAATACTTCACTCCAACAAAATAGCAGACAAAAGTTTATTCCTTTATACTTTCCCTTAAGGTCACAATGGGATAATCAGAATTGGCTCTTTAGAATTTAGGTATCATTTATAGTAAGCTGGAGATTTAATCACAGAATGATACGTGTAAGAATGTTACAGCACCGAACAAGTAGAGAGAATTTTTAAAAGGACAAATTTCAGGGCAGTTTCAAATTCTGAGGTGTACTAAAGCCCTCTTGGGGATCCCTAAAAGACTCTTCCCTTCAGATTCAGATGACAATTATTAGGAATTACAGACCACAATGGGCAGTAGTAAATGTCCATAGTAGGTAGCTACATTAGGTTAGGGATAGTTCCCATGTTCTGTGGATAGGGCCAATGGAAGAAAGGCCAGGAAGCCACTTAAACTCATGCCCATGGCAGATAAGATGACAACTGAGACAACTGTTTCCCTTTGTTAGGTACTATCCCATTGCTATCTTTCCAAGGCTAGCCCTGTGAACTGCTCATAGGGCTACTTCCCTTCATTACATTACCAGTTCTAAGAGCAAACCTCCTGGAAGAATGGTAATATAGACTGGAAAAGCAAGACTGTAGGTACATATAAAAGGAGCTCTGGTGCTCCAGTTGTTTGTCACAATGTACAAGGTACAATGAGGAGCTAATCTAGTAGATGGTTAACTCTGACTCTAGCATATTCTTGGGGTACACTTTTTAAAACAATTTTTGTGGTTTTGATGTGCCAAAATTAGTTACTTTGACTTCTTGGACATTTTATTTTACAAAAGGAAATATAATAGGCTTTAAAAAACAAAAATAAAAATTTACTCTATAACAAATAACTAATATTTCAATGTTTTTACAAAAACAATTTCTTTCAGATACTCTGATTAACCTTTAAGTGACATAAAAAAAGTTTCAGCATTCTTTAATACCAATATTGTGCACAATTTAAGACAGCTATTGAGTTTAGCCTTTCATGGAAAAAAATTTATAAAAAGTAGAACAGTAACTCACTGAGAAGCTTATGTACCTAGTAAAGTTTAGTTTGTTTTGGATTCTTTAAAAAAAATTAGGCCCTGTACCTAGTAAAGTTTAGTTTGTCTTGGATTCTTAAAAAAAATTAGGCCCAGAATTTATTTATCCTAATTACCATCCCAAGCAAATAGGATACGTATGTGTGGATACTAGATAAAGGATAAAATATTTTGAATAAACGTTAAGACCCACTGATTGGACTGTTTGCTTAGAACATGTTTTACTGGGTTTAGACAAGGAAGACTTCAATAAAGCTAACTATATATTGAGTTCCACTGATTAAAAATGCAGTTTTAAAAATTCTGCTTTTGTGGTAAATTTCTAGGCAAAACATAAATAGTAAGAACAAAACTACAGATATCATACTGTTCCTAAAATTATTTGTTGGAGAAGTGCAATGCTTGTATTCAAACTATCAAAATTCTGACCTTTCAAAATAGGTTTTTAAAAATAATTTTTGAAAATCAGTATTTGCTTTTTAAACTCTTAAAATGTCAATTTCAATTAAAAAATTCTTGCAGATTAATCTTAAAGTTATTCCTTTCAGTCTCAATTATTTTTCTTATTTTCAACTATATATTTAACACAAAACTAGTTTCTAAATAAACATCTAATGAACAGTTTCAATTTAAGATAAAACTAGACAATCTAATAATATAACATAAAGTCTGAGTGTGATTTATCAAAATTCAGAATTAAATTTCTATTTCTATAATAGTGAAAAACTATCATCCTCTTAATATTCAAAACCCAGCAATGTTGCTTGAGACTAGAAAGTTGTAGAGAGGATCAAACAGATTTAAGCATTGCCCGGCTTCTTCTAAAGTGATGCACTCTTTTATCCTAGAAAAGATAAAAATAGTACTTTTTACTTCATTGAAAATTTTTATTCATCAAGAATTTCCTATTATCATTCTGACCTAAATGGAGATACAAAAAATTTGAAAGCAATTATTTTGGGTTTAAATTTTATATATAATTAAAAAGGCAATTTTTTTTTTTTTTTTTGGAGGCAGGGTCTTGATCTGTTACCTGGGCTGGAGTGCAATGACATCACCAAAGCTCACTGCAATCTCAAACTGCTAGGCTCAAACAATCCTCCTGTCTTAAGACTTCCATGAAGCTTAGACTGCAGATGTCACCATTCCAGCTAATTCTGGGAAGTACTCTTTGACTTTGGGATAACGAATATACCAAAACAGCTAGTTTTATGCAATAGTTTAGTAAAAAAAGAAATTCCAGAAAATTCAGAAATGGAAGACTTAGAATCAGTATCATTTCATGTTATTCTTAATGATTTGGCAGTGTTGGCGCAAAGATAGGTGGAAAAGGTACATGATTTTATAAGTATTATTTCTAAATCAAATTGCATGACAGAAATCAGAGCTTGAGAACGGCACTCCAATCAGAAACCTATGTTTTTACATGGAAAGATACAAGTTTCAGCATACTTAAATGCATATCCTTAACCTGTGAAGATATATCATTCTTCAGAAAATGAAGAGAAAAAAATTAAATATATGCAAAATTTTCTTTTCACTCTATGTTGCCTACAGATATGCATATAGAAGGAAGTTAGGCCTTTCAAAGAAGAATGGGACAGAGTAAACCAGTAATAACATAATAGTATTTTCTTCTCTTCAGTTAGCTTAACTGAGTTCTTTTCCTAGGTATTAAATTCAGTTGTCATACAAAAAAGAGTTAAGTTCTGGAAGTTATGTAATCTGTCAGAGGGTAATATTTAGGTAGAATCCTAGAAAAGTGGTCACAAATTTACAAAACTTTACAGATCTGATAGGAAATCAGAATATAAAGAGACTGAAACTAAGACAACAAAAAGTAGAATTTGCCATGGAAACGTAAATGTATTCGTATTCAATCAAAACAACATACAGCCAATCAAAATGGGTCTAGAAAAAAAAATGGGTCTAGATACTAGACAAATGCAGGACGCCAATTTCTGACTCCTATTCCAGAGGAGCAGAAAGCTTTGGGAGTTCAAAGTAAGCCTTTTATCTAACATCAGGTGAAAATCAAGTATAAAGACTATTTTCGGTTTTGCAAACACATCATTTAAGGACTACCTATTTAACCTTCAGAACTTTTGACAAGATGAGGCTGTCATGTAACCTCAGTTCTTTTCTTTCTAAATCATACTGACAATGTAGAATAAAAAAACAAGAAAACAAATGTCAACTTAAAAAAAGTTTACTCCATACTACAATGATGTTAAAAATGTGATCCTGCTATGAGTCTACCCTTCTGCATTATACCGTTCTCCTTAATATACATTTTTTTTTCTTTTTTTTTTTTTT